CTTATTACAGTCTGAAGATTGGGCTGTTTCATTCACATCAATTGTAACCTGATATATAATTTTACTTCTAACACGGTTACGCTGAGCAGAAAGAAACTGCAATATTTCTTGTATTAACACGAGTTTATACCGTTATTTCTTGTATATTTTCAGATATAGTTTTGATGGTTTTGATATGGATTGGGAATTCCCCGCTACGAGAGGGAGTTCCCCTCAAGATAAATATAGATTTACTCTCTTAATGAAGGTAAGTAGTTTGAGAATTCCCCGCTAGGTATTAGAGGGTGAAAGTTCACATCGGGCCGACTCTCGAAAGGACGCGCACAGGCATCAAAAATGTTCTTACCATGAGGAGGATTCGAACCCACGACACCTATTCGCCTAGCAGACGACAATCGAAATCGCTACCGACATAGCTATTCCACTACCACCAAGGACAGTGTTCCAACTCAGCGTTACAGGGAAATATTGGGTTAGGGTTTCCTATCGTCCATGCCCTCACAGTTTATTTATATACCACCACTCTGGGCTCTGAGTCAGTCATTGTGGGTCGTTTGTTTCAGAACACCTCTATTAGCACGTTCTACCTGATTATATTCCAGGAATTGTACGAGGCCTTCGCACGTGAAGCTGAAGAAAGTAACAACGAGAAGTTATTGTTGACCCTGGCGACAGCTTCCGGTACATATTATATAAACCAATCATATGAGCCAGAAAAAATTATCAAGTAAGGATAAGTACATGTTGATATATTAAAATATTATCAAGTAAAGAACAGTACATGTTGATATATTATAATATTATCAAGTAAAGAACAGTACATGTTGATATATTATAATATTATCAAGTAAAGAACAGTACATGTTGATATATTATAATATTATCAAGTAAAGAACAGTACATGTTGATATATTATAATATTATCAAGTAAAGAACAGTACATGTTGATATATTAAAATATTATCAAGTAAGGAACAGTACATGTTGATATATTAAAATATTATCAAGTAAAGAACAGTACATGTTGATATATTATAATATTATCAAGTAAAGAACAGTACATGTTGATATATTATAATATTATCAAGTAAAGAACAGTACATGTTGATATATTAAAATATTATCAAGTAAAGAACTGTACATGTTGATATATTAAAATATTATCAAGTAAAGAACAGTACATGTTGATATATTATAATATTATCAAGTAAAGAACAGTACATGTTGATATATTAAAATATTATCAAGTAAAGAACTGTACATGTTGATATATTACAATATTATCAAGTAAAGAACAGTACATGTTGATATATTATAATATTATCAAGTAAGGAACAGTACATGTTGATATATTAAAATATTATCAAGTAAAGAACAGTACATGTTGATATATTAAAATATTATCAAGTAAAGAACAGGACATGTTGATATATTATAATATTATCAAGTAAAGAACAGTACATGTTGATATATTAAAATATTATCAAGTAAGGAACAGTACATGTTGATATATTATAATATTATCAAGTAAAGAACAGTACATGTTGATATATTATAATATTATCAAGTAAAGAACAGTACATGTTGATATATTATAATATTATCAAGTAAAGAACAGTACACTGTTGATATATTATAATATTATCAAGTAAAGAACAGTACATGTTGATATATTATAATATTATCAAGTAAAGAACCAGTACATGTTGAT